AGTCATGCCTTAATCCTTCAGACGACATTACCTTTCTTGGAACCAAATTTAAAGGTCCATGGAGACAAAACCACAAACCAACAAGCGAACTGATTTCGCCGCTCACGGACTGCTCCAGTAACAAAACCTCATCACAGAAAGACCTCCAACAAATGATGGGACGTATCAATTGGCTTCGACATTATGTCCAACTCAGGAGCTCGCAGTACTGACTAAACTTCAAAAGCGCCTGCGCCACTTTCAGTTTCGATCTTATCTAGACTCATGGACCCCCAAAGATGACCAAACCATCCAAGGTCTAATTACACAATGTGAAAACACCAAGCTTCACGCGGTCAACCTAAACAACTTGACTGTTGCAGTTGGCTACATGGATGTACATATTTGGGTGACAGTGCATGATCAAGACCATCTTATTTTAGCTGCCCATCGCACTGTACGAGATGCCCAACACCGATATGGAACTGTTGGAAAAGTTCTGCTCACATCACAGTTGGCAAAACCAGTGTCAAAAGGCCATGGAACCATTGTAGGCCCTGGAATGATGCTTTTGACGCAAATCGACAGTGACCGTGTTAACCCAGAGTTTGGTGGAGAACCTAAAACTTGGGCCGCTTTAGTCCTGGACCATCAGTATCATTGGTCTGCCTCGTGGGAACATCGTGACACACCAGCACCGTGTGAAGTTCGAGATCGCCCAATCTTATATGGCACCACAGCACCAGCCTGGATGGCTTCCGATGGAACCACACGACATGGAGGTCTGTGTGGATTCTATTGTCACACCTGTCGAGAGCACGAAATCCTAACAGCTTACAAGTCAGCACAACTAAATGAACTTGTTGTGTTCTGTAACGTCATCAAGCACTGCCTCGAATGGCACAATGGCTGCCAACCAGTCCCAGTCATCGCCGTAAACTCCCAATTCATTTATAAAATCATCACCGGCAATGGCGACCCAGAACTCTGTGTCCAAACTTGGGAAAAGATCTTTGATATGATCACAGCCCTCGACCCACCGCCACTTATCAAGCATACCAGGTCGCACCGCCCCAACACAGACCCAGTTCATGCTGAGATTGACCGACTCCTTCAAGAAGGAAAACAACCCCAAGTGTCTGTTGGTGAAGTAGCCGAATCTTCAGAAAAAGATCCTTTCCTTCATTGGCTACATGAACACTGGGGACATCTTGGAGTGAGTGCATCTCACAGTTGCTGGTGCAAAGATACAACCCAGCCTCGGTCAGAAAGAACCCACAAAGATTGGACCCATATAGTCCAAGCCTGTGAACAATGTGCCAAAAAAAAGAAACACCTGACTGCGGTAGAGCGAGAAACCTTCGCCAAAGAACACTTTGAACCTGGAAAAGTGTGGCAAGTCGACTTGCTAGGTCCCTTGCCCGGAGCAAGACGACACCGAAAGGACTTGTTGCTGTCGATCTCGGTACACAGCAAGTACAAGTTATACCACTACAAAAAAGTACCAGTCCATCAGTTGTCACCGCATTAAAGCTGTTAATCGCTCGCTGGCAAGCCCCAGAAATCATCCACTCAGATGGAGGACCACCTTTTACCTCCAAGCTGATTAGCGATTTTCCAGCCGCCTTTAACATCCAGTGGCATCACCATATTCTGTACCATCCGCAATCCAACAGAGTAGTTGAGCACACCATTGGCCTTATCAAAGAAAAGATTCGACTGCTAAACAAAGGTTCCTACACTGGATGGGACACAATCCTTCCCGACGTCCTTATCAGTCTGAATGCTGACAAACCTCTATGGGAACATCGGACGCCCATCCTCCCCAAGCCATGGACACCTAAATTTATCTCAGGCGAATTAGTTTGGGTTACAACTCCGAACCCAGAAGACAAACACCCAACACCGACCAAAGGCCAAGTTGTTCACCCTGGACAATATCCGAACACGTATTGGGTCATCAAACATGTCAAGAACTCTACAGAACCCCCACACCTTTTAGTGCACCACAATTGGTTATCTAGGCACGCTGAGCAAAAAGTTATGTGAAATGTATAATATCTCTGGATACTGCTGTTTCTTATTTTCTTTTACAGGTAACCGCCATGAAATCTCTCATGGCCACCGCCCTGTGCTGTGTCATATGTTTTGCTTCGGGAACAATCCAGCAAAACACGTTCCTGACTCTCCTAGCTATTTCCATCACCGAGTGCCACAACTTCGAAAAGAACGGGAACGCAATGATAGACTACTGACTTTGTTTCCTGAAACTGTCAGCAACGATGGACATTGACATCATTACCCATCTTGGACGACCACCTTCTAGTCTTAACGTATCTCACTATCTTAAATGTTTTTGTTATTATCTTAGTGATATTATGTATTTTTTCTTGCCTTTTTCATGTAATCAAAAAACGAATAACCACGCTTTCCACTTTTGTATATACACGCTTGCCAATTGTTTATGAACTTGACGAGAGAGAGGACCAAACTTAAGACTTCCAACTAAAGTTCCCATCGGCAAGGGGGCATGTCAAAGATCAAAGTCTTTGATTTCAGATGCCGATGGCAAAAAATCAGATGGCAAAAGGTCAGAAGCTAACACAACAAACTCTGTAATTGTAGTCTCACACTATTATTCTTTAGTTTGCAACAGTGCTGCATGCACACATCCCTATCTGTGCCTCATTTCAAATCACTTGAGCTCCCATACAAGACAGAAACTAACCTTGAACAAATTACAGCCTAGTCAAAGAGAGATACTGTACCCATAGTGACCAGATAAAAATGAAACTCCAAAGTGGCTGATTTTAATGAAGTTGTAAAATTAAATAATGTACTATGCTCGCCTTCCTGTGACCAAACAGGACCAGTACCACCCAAGCAAAAATATAGCCCCCCTTTTTATGAAACTTGAGCAAACAAAGAGAGCACAAGTGCCAACTCGTTAATTATTCATGCCTAGCATGAAGTAATTGGCTATCCTAGCCAAGTATAACTTGGATAAAACTTCCGCCCAAAAGCAGAGAACTGCGTATACACTCAAGAAGAAAGATCCCGAAGCATTCCCAAAAGACACAGTCTGTAATCTAATCAGTTACAGACAACTCAAATATCTCTCTGCCTGCGACCTTGATTCAGGCGTACCCCCGTTTTGCCGACTCGTGTCGTCTTATCTTTCTCACTCGTCTTATCTTATCTTTCGTACGTCCCTCTCGTCAAGAGCTCTCGGTAATATGCAGACCGTAGTAATTTGTATAAACTGTTTGAAACCTGTACTCAGCAAGTCTGCAATCTGCTGTAATCACTGGGTAACAAAACATCTGCATGCTGTAACTAAGAATCAGCTGCTTCTGCCTACACTGCAAGCCATCAGTAGCGTAAGTAAAATAAACTTTCTGTGTAACCAATACCCTTTAAATCATCTGACTATCTGACTCCTGCTTGCCATTAACACCTGCCTGTCCGGTCATAAATCCCCCCTCGCGCCAAGCCGGTCGTACCGACCCAGGCTCGCAGGTCAAGGGTGCACCAGCATTTAGGCGCGACAGCCGTAATGAAGTAAGAGCAATGGATATTGGGGAATGGATATCACAGATGGTCCAGTGCCAGGTTTTACCAGGACAAGAGCCCATAAGGAGTTCAAGGTAAGTCAATGATTTAACTTACTCCCAGCATCCTTCAGTAGGGCAAGCTGGAGGAGAAATGGATAGATTGAGTGTTGCATAAAATTACTCAGCAGAACTCAGACTCAGTGGTCATGGGTCTACATGTGCCCTTGACTGTGCAATACCAATTGCACAGTTATTTACATGTGCCAAATGTGCCTCTGATGGCTGGGGGGGCACAGCACGGTCCAGCAGGTGGCAGTGGTACTGGCAGCATTGGGAGCATGGAGACAGTAAGCGTGGAGCTCCTGCAGGCAGCTGTGGTGCTGTTGGCAGTGGGGGAAAGGGATGGTGAGCACCAACTGGTGGTCAGCGACCACTTGCAGACACTGCTGGCAGTGGCAGCCAGCTGGAGTGGGAGGGGGGAGGGGAGCGAGTGGTGACTCCCCGGAGGTGCGGCAGTGTTGGCACCTTTTTGTAGGGGGTGCACCACCATGCTCATGGGGTGCACATGCACCTGCGTTCAAACCCTACACATCACCAATGGTCATTTAACATTTGTTTTAGCAGATACTAAATGACTGTGCAGTACCCACCAGTACTGTGCAGTACCAGCAGTGCACGGGTCATTTCTGACCCTGTGTCACTGTAGTGACAAGCTACGGTGGCATATCTCATCACTACAGCGATGTAGCTGCAGTATCACATTTAGCCAATCCTACATCACCATAGTGACAAAGTACATCACCATAACTTATTGCTACAGCAACATAGCATCTTGTGTAGACACACCCAGTGGGTGTTGTAAGAAACAATACCAAAGCAGTCGTCTATGGGATGAGATTGTGGCCACTGCAGTCCTGTGAGAGCCTACTACAAGCCTTCTGGCTGTAGGATAATTTACGGCTGCCCCACTCCCGCCTCCTTCTTTCTGTACCAAATATTATGGGGAAAGCTGGCTGTAGGATAAGGATGTACTCATCTATTCTCTGCATTTCTGGGGCACTTCAGTTGAAACCTATTGCTTTGAATTGCAGTAGAGACCCTTACTTGAGAGAAGCCATCTTCTTTGCAAGAATTATATCCTTCTGATCTTCCTTTCCCCTTAGAAATTATCCAGGTATCCTTGCCTTACGAAATAACACTGTCATCTTACCAGTGCAGCCGTCTTCACTGGCTATATCCCTTATCTCACTCACAACCCTGCCATATTATATTATGCCATACTTATGCTAAAGGCATTTTATAAGACTTCACATTTCTGGACTTTGAAAAAAATGAATTATTCCTTTGTTCCTTGAACAGGTCTTCCCAAGGTGGCCAGGTTGGTTATGACTGGAAATAAGCAGTCTTAGCCACTTATTCCTCAATCCATTCAGTGAAAAAAAATGAAGTCCCCACAGTTAAACTGACCTCCAAGCCCAGGTCTCAGTCTGTTGTCATACCCATCCAACAGCCTGTCCAGAATGCGCGTGAAGATGGTGATGTTGTCATTGCTGTCATCAGCAATATCTGGACCATGTTTCTGAGACAGCCTGCCATGTTGAGAGAAGGAAAAGGGATGAAAAATAATTAGACTAGCAACTTAGTCTTCAAATACTCGGTGCATTTATTTTAGAAAGTGTTGTTTATTCATACTGTGGTCTGCCTCTGTGACCTTGAACAAAAGCATGCCGTATGTTTGTCAATAGGATAACATGTGGGAGGATGATTGCAGGAGATCTCACACATGCATCCCACAGATGCATCTCGAGCAGGTCCAGAGAGGTGATCC